AAAACTGCTATGTCATCTTCTCCAATCAATAATTTAAAGCCATTTTATTAAATAATTTATTAATCAAAATTTCTTCAAATTTTACCTAAAAAAAGCTTTTATAATTCTTAAATTCTTAATAAAAAAACAAAGCTAAAAAAAACTGAAAACGAATTACACTAAAACTCAATTATAAAGCTTAAACAAAAGCTTATTTTATGGAGTCATCATCTTCTCGGTTTCCAATCATCTCGCCTCTGACTCACCAGAAACGGAATCAGCCGTCACTAAACACAAATTTTACTTATTAATTAATGACAACCAAACTGGTGATAAACAATAAAACTTAAATAAGTGGAGCACAAATATTTGGAAATCCAAAGACATAGCAATGAGGATTTTAAAAAAAAAGACATAGCGATGAGCCACATATGGTATAAATAATACGCAACTCTATCACAAATGAAGTCTACTGTGTCTCAAGCTTGAGATTGTTGTAAGCAACATAAAAATACAATCTCACAACTCTTTTGCATTTATATTTATAATGTGAATCAAGTAGAATGAGTCTGAATCATAGTATTGTTGGAACTGGAGAACGTCTTTCTCGCCAAAAGTAAAACTTAAGGAGCGATTCAGTTTTCTTTCGTCTAGAGAAAATTAATTTATACAATTGTAACTTTTTGACTTATAACAGATTTCAAGTTTCTAAAGCTGATATAGAGTTCCATATTGTTCGTTGTAATTCGATATTGTAGAAAAACTGAAGTAAAAACCTAACTAAAGAACCGGTGATTAAAGACAATTACTCACCGTTTCTTAATTTTTATTTAAAAATTTTTATGAAACATAAAACTCAAAAGATTTTTTTTTCAAATAACATATAACGATAAATTTCACACTCTTCACCAATATTGGCAAATGATTGAGCTAGCTAAACTATCAAACAAATAGTATATCAATCAATAAAGAACTCATATAATAAAATTTTTTTTTTATTAATTGCCATTTTTTTTCTTTGTTGAATATATGAACTAATTATAAAACATCTATGTACATATTGAATCTTAGAAAATTGATAAGTAGAGAAATGCATACTATATGAAAATTAAAAACAAAATCCTAATACACAATATGAAACAAAAATATAGAAAGGATTGAGTTTTTCTTTTTAAAAGCATCAAGCGAAAGGCAAGCTTATGCAAAATATTTTTGAAAGTATAAAAAAATACTCATGGTGTTCACTAAAGAAATAGCATTATAACATAAGATGTCCAAATTTAGACAATATATTTCTAATATAATATATAGTTCATATGGATACTATTTACATAAACAAAAAATATAACAAAATTACAAATCAAATTACTATACAAAAATGTCAAACTTTACCCTTCATATTTGCAAAAACATGCATAACTATCTTAAAAAAAAGTCTAACTAAGCCAAAAGATATATTAATCTACTTTCAAATTATTATACAAAAATTTCTATCACTTTTTCACATATATATATATACATCTTTCTGATACTTACTTCGCTCAATTATATCTAAGAATCACATGCAAATATACTAATCTATAATTTATCACAATATTAAAAATAAAATTAATTAACAACCTTTTATAAAACTACAATATAACTATACAACCCACGCGTAGCATGGGCAAAACACTAGTTTATACTAAATGCACAAAGCAGAGTAATTGACTTAGCATCATCACAAAAAAAAAAAGAATCAAAACTTCAAAAAGAAACATCGATCAAGCAAAGTAGAAAACGTATCAATTATCTTAGGAATCTTATTCCAAAAGATGTAGCTCTAGCAACACATAATGAATCATGAGACCAAAATCACCAACTGGAATCGCCTCAATTTCCAGGCTAACTCTGGCAAGAAATACACAAAGCAAGGCTCAAAACAAATCAAGCTAAAGAAAGTGAATGTGATGAGGTATAATGATGTGTTTTGGTTCCAAAACTACTTTGATGCAGATATTTGAAACACTAGTAATTTGTCTTATGGATTACATAGCCAAAGACTTGTAGCTTTCTACAGCGATTTTGGTTGATCCATGAACTTTAGTTATGCCGTGCGTAAGAGAAACTTTGGAGGGTTAAGTGATATATTATGATTTTTATGGTTTCTAACCATGATATAAGTCTTTTTTATTGAGTCTTTTCGATATTTTTAAAGTCCTATTAGGATCTTTACAGGTTAATGCGTGCTTGGAGCAAAATTAGAGACTTTGGAGCATTATGGAGCAAAACAGGAGTTCTTCCCAATTTGAGCAACAACAAAACGTGATTATGCCATTGGTGACGATCGTCACCACTTAATGGGTGACGCTCGTCACCCGATCATGAAGAAGCATCATAAGTCTATTTAAAAGATGAGGGAAAATTACAGTTTTGGCCCAGAAATTTTACTAATTGCAAAATACCCCATTTGTGTTTAGTATGTATATTTAGGTTTTTTCAGTCATTCTTTGGTTTGTATCTTATTTTCTATTGAGCTTTTGAGAGAGATCGATCCAGAGTTTTTTGGGTAGAAAATTTTGTACTCTTTTGGAGAAGATTTCGAACCTTTGTATTAGTACTTTTTTTTTAATACAGTATTATTCAGTTATGATTTGTGAATTCATCTCCATGTCTGAGTAATATGTTAGTTAGGTTAGGATGATTTAAGGGTTGATGTACTTTGTAGATTTGTTATACTGTCAGAAAAATCTATTGATTTTTTATCTGGATTTGCAGTTATATTGATTCTAGGACTGATCATCTAGAAATCAAACCATAGATTGTTTAATAGATGTGTGAACATCGTTATTCACCATAACTAATCTTAGATGAGCAAAATTACTATCTACAAAGAGATTTGATTTAGAAATTTTGTAAATTAATAAAAATTAGGAATCCCAACATTATTAATTTATAGAAGATTTACTGTATAATCTAGTGTATTTAGGTTATACAGTAATTTTATAATTTATATAATTATAATTCAGCTAATCAAAATATTTCGTTTATTTTAGGAAATTATAAATGTCACATTTCTATGTCACTACTAATTTATACTAACTTTTGCCAAGATGAAGACACATCGTATTGTTTCTTTAAATCTGCTTCTCAAACAATAGTTAGGATTATCTGATTATTAGTTTATCGATTAATTAATATTTTATAAATTAATAAAAATTAGGAAATCCAACATTTATAATTTATAGAAGATTTATTGTATAATATAATATATTTATGTTATAATTTTATAATATATATAATTATAATTCAGCCAATCAAAACATTTCGTTTATTTTAAGAAATTATACATGTCTCATTTCCATGTTACTATTAATTTACATTAATTTTTTGCTAAGATGAAGACACATTAGATTTTTTCATTAAATCTGCTTCTCAGATAATAATGAGAATGAGTTTAACAAAATTTGTTGTTGTCTATGAAATTTGTTGTTAGGAATTCCAAATGTTCATCCCAATCCATGATCCAAACTTGTTGTTACTAACGATTCCCATATCCATGACCCTGGCGACTCAATAATTGATAGAAATAAATAAAATGATCATCATAGATCTGATCACTCTAATAATTAGCTTATCCCTAAAATGTTATGTCTTTGTCTTTGTAAAATCAATTTATCGTGTCTTATGAGATGCATGAACCTCTCTTTGGTACACTGTTGATTAAGTATTTGTCTCTTTTTGACTCAAAGTGTTTCAACAAATTAGATAATAATAACTATAAAAAAATACTTTTGCACGGTATAATCTCCCTAATTTTTTCTATTGTTTTTAATGGCATGTTTGTAGTTTTAAAATTGCAGAAAGGTGACAAAGTCTAAAGATAGTCTTCTGTATTTTAGGCTTAGTCGAAGAGTGTTACTAAAAGAACAAAAGATTCAACACACCACTACACTATTTCAACTGTTAAATAAAATAAAAAAATTCAACATGCCATCGTAAGTAGTCTAATTGAACCATTCGGAGATAAATCATCCTTTTCCAAACAGATGTTACAGATCGAACCAAAGTTCAACTTTCTTTGGAATGATCTACTGCCACTAGCCTAGTTGGCACTTGGTAAGGACTAAGGAGTAAACATTTAGGCCCACATTTAGCTGAAATCATGTGATGTGATTTCAGAGACGACCCAAATAATTATGACTTCTCAAGTTTCAACTATTACTTAACAAAATTACAAATGATTTACAACTTGAATAGTAAATGTCCACATCAAATTTAGGCAGACCGCAATCCGCACTCCGCAGGCGTCAGTACGAATAGATTTTAGGGCAGTCGAGATTAACCAATAAAACTATCATAATTCTACATAGTACTTCCTATCTAGAAACAAGACTTTTGCCAGTAACATAGTCAAGTCGCCCCCCTCCATCATTTATATTTAGAAAAATGATAAAAGCAAAATAACACTTATTGTTTGGATGACTTCGAAAATGCATAATTTCTCAATATATTTATTATTCCCTTCTATTTAATTTGCTTTAATATTTATTATTTCAAACAAAATTAAATAATAATTAATAAAAACAAAATTAAAATTGTCATTTTAATAAAGGTTTAATATATGTAAAAAATCTAAAACATTCATCTTTTAGAAATAGAAAAATTAATAAAATTAACTTATTAATACGCAGCTCATTACCTGTTACTGTTCGGCTTTTGCCTCTATGTTGGATCAATAAATTTATAAGTGGGGTCAAATATTTTTTTTTAAAAAAAATCTATGTAAATTATAAACGAAATATCAATAATTTTTTTTCAATATCTCAAATTTTCCGATGTAGAAAAATAAATATCTTTCACGATAGAAAAAATTTCCTGAGCATTTATTATATCATTAACATAATTTTCCTAGAGAAAATTTATAAGAACCTCAATAAAGATAATGAAAAAATCATAAATTTTAAACATTTGAATGCATAAGTTAACTAAGTTTGATAAAACAAAAGAAGGAAAGAAAACAAGAGCAGACTAGTAAAAAAATGAGTGTAGTCATCTGATGATATATTTTGAAAATACAATCAAATTATGTAAATGACTAAAATGTGATGGGATCAGCTTACCACACTCCTCTTAGAGTGGTACGCCAGGACCGGCACTGGTTTCCTCTATATAAAGCGAAACAAATATTAACACACACACAAGTAGTAAACACAAAGAATAATGGCCAACATCTCACTCTCAGCGTTCGTCTTCTCCATCCTTTTCCTCATCTCCACCACCACAGCCGCCAGATTTGATATCCTGAACCAATGTGGTTACACCGTATGGGCTGCCGCAAGCCCCGGAGGTGGCCGGCGTCTAGATCCCGGCCAGTCATGGCCACTAGATGTTGCGGCCGGCACGCGTATGGCAAGGATTTGGGGTCGGACAAACTGTAATTTTGACGGTTCGGGCCGTGGCCGATGCCAAACCGGTGATTGCACTGGTGGACTTCAATGCACCGGTTGGGGCCAGCCACCGAACACGTTGGCTGAGTACGCTCTGAACCAATTCAACAACTTAGACTTCTACGACATCTCACTTGTCGATGGATTTAACATCCCTATGGAGTTTAGGTCAGAATATTATTATAATATTTCATAATTTATAGTCAAGATGATATAAATTCGAATTTTGCTCAAAACAAAGCCGGATCATAAATTTATAATTCTAAATATATTGACACTTTAATATCTTCCCCCAACCAGCTCGAACTGCAAGCGGATACTATGTAACGCGGACATAAACGGACAGTGTCCAAACCAGTTGAGAGCGCCGGGCGGTTGCAACAACCCGTGCACGGTGTTCAAGACGAACGAGTATTGTTGTACGAACGGGCAGGGATCATGTGGCCCCACTGGGTTCTCAAGGTTCTTTAAACAGAGGTGTCCGGACGCTTACAGTTATCCACAAGACGACCCGACCAGCACTTTCACTTGCAGTAACACTAACTACAGGGTCGTGTTTTGTCCTAGGTAGGGGCTAGGGCGTAGACTCTCTCTCTCAACACTAGTGTGTACGTAGGATATGCACGTACGTGTGTATTAAATAACTAAGAGACGAGTCTATATTGTATGCTTGTGTGTGAGTGTGTACGTGTGTTACCATATATACGTGACTACCAACGCGTAATGGATAATAATGGAGGCAATAATAATTACGAATAAGTTCAAAAAGTCTCCCTTTTTTTCAGGTCAAAAATTTATTAACGGATAATTGAGAAAAAATATATCGGCACAACTTAGTTTGATGGATTTTGAATTCCAAAACCTCAAATAATAATGACGTTGTTGATTCAAGGTCTTCAATGAAAAAATTGACTAGTAAAATAGATCCTTATATATAGTCAACCAAGTGTATGATTGTGGAAAATCAGTTATAAATCGTCAGAAATTAAAAACCATCGAAAAAATATTATAAAAAACTAAAAAATAATAATAAAATAATAATCTGTTGGAATTTAGAAACAACATTATATCATCTTGACGCACCACACAAACCTTCTCAACTTTGCTATCGTCTCATGCTAAGGCTCGGAAGTGCGATTACCTGAAATGATACAATATAAAAAAAATCAGTAAATCAAAGGTCTTCGATATCTGAATTATTATTAGAATCTGTTTTCGCGAGTTCTTGAGTGTTTTGTGGAATCAGACATTTGAGTTTTCGTGTTATTTTTTACTGTCCATGCGAAGATGAGCCATTGAAAGTTAGAAGCATAAATTGTTGCATGTAGAATCAATGAACCCATCTATCCATTCCATCCACCGATCCTTCCTGAAAGAGACTCGAGTCCAACATGATTGATCCCATAACCATTCACTTCAATCATCTCGTGAGCAAGCAGAAAGAGACTTCAGTCCAGCTGCTTGCTTCCACCCATTCACCCAACCATTTATAAGATCATCTCATTGATCTTATATCATGAAATCATACTGATTCCATCAAACCTTTAAACAAATAGGGTTATTAACTATAGTTAGTTACTTGTAATGTGTAACTCAAAAAGAGATTCAAATGATGATTTACCCTTTATATATATAGGAGATATAGCCATCTCCGAGACGAGGTAGTGGGAGATGTTAAGAGACTCGAGGCCTGTCGCAGTGTTCACAAGATGCATGCATGGCTTTGCCGGTTTGCGAGTCAAATGTGCATATGATCTTCATTCTGGATAGACTCAAGCAGTTTGCGCTAAGGCATTGTATTATATATCTTAAATTCTGATGAAACGATAATACCATTCAAGCAAGCAAGAAATTTCATAAATCCCATTTTTGACTCGAAGGAATGAATAATATGTGTTTATACTTGACTTAATCTTTCAAAATCTAGATTAAAACAAATCACGTAGTCCTCCCCAATAGCCCAATTCGGCCAAAATTTCAAAGCATATGACTAACTGAAAAAAAATGTATTAAAGCTTTGGTTCTGATTGTTGAACCTTGCGATAGTCTAAAATGGGTCTTCACTGGTTGGCTAATTGCATATGGCTCAAAGGAAAAACAAATCTCATTCACATGTATATGATGCACGAAATCAAAAACAGATTGAATAAAACATAGCTGTCGTACGGCTTATTGATTTTTTTTTTTTGTGCACATACGGCTTATTGATTTAAAAAATGATTTATAAAATGAAACTTCCACATCTTGTAATGACAATGTTTTTATATGCATAGAGATAATAAGAGCCACATATATAAGGGGAATATTGATGTGAATTAGAATCAAATTTGTTCAAAAACACCAGAAAAGCTTTTCCAAATTTTAGAATTCAAGTTCCAACTCTTCATTTCGCCAATGCTTAGAGCCATAGGACCAGAGCATAGAATGTTTTGGCCGATCTTTGCAGACCCTGCAATTGTTTCTTGAATATAAATTTGTCAAGCTTCTGAGTGGTGGCTTGTACAAGACTATCAATAGTTACCGTCTCAGGATTTGCTAGGGTGAGTATCCCACTTCAACTCTTTGCAATGTGAAAGACTATGGATCATAAGCTTTTGGAGGCTGCTGATGAAAGAGCATCGCAAACTCAACCTCACGAGGTTCTTGAGGTATCACACGATTTGCTCAGTAATATATTTTTCTAAATAACCAAAATATTTCAAGTTGGTGTGGTTAATACAGTTTTCTCCCACAGCTTGAAAGTGAAATTTCAGGGTGAGACAGTCATGAAGGATGATCAGTGTTTTAAGATTCGTCAATTTACTAAACGCAAACTGGATTGAGAGCACCAACGAGGTAAAACAAGTTTCGTTGGTAAAACAAGTTTCTCTATGTTCGGCATCGTAATTGGTTAAACGTAAAAATCATTAATTTCGGATCTAGAAGAAGGTTTTGACCGGATTAAAGGTGATGATGGTTGTTCATTTACTTAGTTTGCTTCAGTTCGATAATCGATTTTAGTATAAGATTTTATAGCATTTGTCTCTAGTTTTCTTCACATGATTCTTGGAAATCGCAATTTACAGCAAAGGGAAATGTTGATATTTAGATCTATGATATTACATAGATTAGTTACTAATAACGTGTTTAAGCAAGTAGGAAACAACTAAATCCCAAAGACACTCAAGAACTCGAACAGAGCTTATTACAGTATTGGCAAAACACAATACTAAAGAGCTTTTATTTGACTAATAACGCCTTATTGCTTAAGCACTAACTCCCAACAGTTTCTTCAGGTCCTTCTGCAAATTTCGTATTAACAATGAACAACAACGAAATTAGAGAAACTTTCGCGTCTCTAAAATCAAAAAACTAAAAGCATCGACTTATATAATGTGAGACATTACCTCAATGCTGAGAGGAGAAGTAGTTGGCGCGTAACGGTCAACAACATTTCCTTCTTTGTCAATCAAGAACTTGGCGAAGTTCCACTTGATGCCATCTCCAAAAATCCCACCTTTGCTTGATTTCAGAAACTTGTAGATCGGAGCAGCCTTGTCACCGTTCACATCAACCTGCATTACACAGTGCAAAGCTTTGAAATCAAGTCCAAGAAGAGAACTCAACAATCAAAACACCAACATACAATCATATTATAAGAGCTCGCAAGCTTCTAATGTATCTCTCATATCATGAGATTTCGCAGTCAAGAACAAGGAAAAGTTGTTACCTTGTCGAATATCGGGTACTCAGCTTTGAAACGAGTACAAGCAAACTGAAGAATCTCTTCGTTAGAGCCAGGTTCTTGATTCCCGAACTGGTTACATGGAAACGCAAGGATCTCAAAACCTACGAAAAATGGTGACATTAAGATTCATTCTACAGTGAAGAAAAAGAAAACAAACAACTGGTTGTAATCAAATTATACCATGATCTTTGTACTTCTGATACAGTTGCGCAAGCTCAGTGTAATTCGAATTAGTCAAGCCACTGCAAGTAAAAAGAAACTAGTCACTAACCAATGAACCTATGATTACGAATCATTACAAAATTGAAATTTGAGTGGGAAACAAAACTTGAAAAATTACCACTGAGAAGCAACGTTCACGATCAAGAGAACCTTCCCCTTGTAAGTGCTAAGATCAACATCACTTCCCTTCGCATCCTGAGAAATCACAAATCGGAAAACATTTTTCAATTTTAGACACAAATCGTTCATAATCGGATCTCAAATCCCAGCAACAAACAGAATTTCCGAAGTGATCAAAGAAATTCGAAACAAACAAAATTGAAATTAGGAAATCAGACCTAATCCATCACAAACTTCGAATTTATAGAAATATTAGGGAAGAGATCGAACCTTGACGGTGAAATCATAGATTGATTTGGGCTCGGAAGAAGCAGCCATCGAGTGTTCCGACCTAGAAAGTTTAGCTCCCGTTGTGGTGGGTAAAGGAAGAGAACGAATCCGATGAGACTTGAAAAGAGGTTTCGCAGAAGAATCGAGTTTCGAAGAAAACAGAGAAAGCGGTGATGATGATGATGAAACTCGAACCAGATGATTTGTTCTTATATAGAGAAGCCGAAATGAGGATCTGAGCATTGTTGGTAGCAGATTCTTTTTATACACAGAAATTAGATATTTTATGTTAACGAGTCAAAATCATAATTTTGTTACTCAGCTTCTTTCTCCGTGTTCAGTGGTTGGAGAATGGGAAAGACACGTGGAAGACTTAGAGGAGGGCCACGTTGGAGACTCGTCGGAACTCTCGGTGTGCTTACGTCATCAGATGCGTTTATTGTGCGGCGTAATGTGAACGCTAACCATAAAGGCCTTCCCGGATTATTATTGTCCACACTGGACCTAGATTTGGGCCTAGATTTACCCGTAATTTTCTTTACAGAGATAGATTTTTAGGCTTCTAAAGACTATCACATCGACAAAAAATAATTAATCAATAGTAAATTCCAAAACTGCTACGTATATTATCTTTTTTGACTAATAATTTAAAATTATTTCATTAAATAATTTATTAATCAAAATTTTTTTAAATTTTACCTACAAAAAAACTTTTATAATTCTTAAATTCTAAAGAAAAAACAAAGTTAAAAAAATAAAAACGAATTACACTAAAACTCAATTATAAAGCTTAAACAAAAGTTTATTTTATGAAGTCACCGTCTTCTTGGTTTCCAAACATCTCGCATCTGATTCACCAGAAACGGAATCCGTCACTAAACACAAATTTTATTTTTAATAGATTTCTAGACTTTTAAGAGCTGTCACATCATCAAAAATAATTAACCAATGGTAGATTCTAAAACTGCAATGTCATCTTCTTCAACCAATAATTTAAAGCTATTTCATTAAATAATTTATTAATCAAAATTTCTTCAAATTTTACCTTAATTTTTTTTTTATAATTCTTAAATTCTCAATAAAAGAAAAAAACAAAGCTAAAAAAACTAAAAATGAATTACACTAAAACTCAATTATAAAGCTTAAACAAAAGCTTACTTTATGGAGTCACCGTCTTATCAGTTTCCAATCATCTTGCCTCTGACTCACCAGAAACGGAATCAGCCGTCACTAAACACAAATTTTACTTTTTAATTAATGACAACCAAACTGATAATAAACAATAAAACTTAAATAAGTGGAGCATAAACATTTAAAAATCCAAACGACATAGCAATGAGGATGTCAAAAAAAAAGACATAGCGATGAGCCACATATGGTATAAATAATACACAACTCTATCACAAATGAAGTCTAATGTGTTTTATGCTTGAGATTGTTGTAAGCAACATAAAAATACAATCTCACAACTGTTTTGCATTTATATTTATAATGTGAATCGAGTACAACTGTTTTGCATTTATATTTATAGTGTGAATCGAGTAGAATGAGTCTCAATCATAGTATTGTTGGAACTGGAAAACGTCTTTCTCGCCAAAAAAAAAATTTAAGGAGTGACTAGGTTTTCTTTCTTCTAGACAAAATTAATTTATACAATTGTAACTTTTTGACTTATAACAGATTTCAAGTTTCTAAAGCTGATATAAAGTTCCATATTGTTCATTGTAATGCGATATTGTGGAAAACTGAAGTAAAAACATAACTAAAGAACCGGTGATTAAAGACAATTACTCACCATTTCTTAATTTTCATTTGCAAAAGTTCATGAAACATAAAACTGAAAAGTTTTTTTTTCAAATAACATATAACGATAAATTCCACACTTTTCACCAATATTAGCAAATGATTGAGCTAGCTAAACTATCAAACAAATATTATATCAATTATCAAAGAACTCATATAATAAAGAAGCTTCTTATTAATTCATTTGTTTTCTTTGTTGAATATGTGAACTAATTATAAAACATCCATGTACACATTGAATAAAAAAAAATTGATAAATAGAAAAATGCATACTATATGAAAATTAAAAACAAAATCCCAAGGTACAATATGAAACAAAATAGAGTAAGGATTGAGTTTTTCTTTTTACAAGCATCAAGCGATAGGGAAGCTTATACAAAAAGTTTTTGAAAGTATAAAAAATACTCATGGTGTTTCACTAAAAAATAGCATTATAACATAATATGTCCAAATTTAGACAATAGATTTCTAATATAATATATAGTTCATGTGGATACTATTTACATAAACAAAAAAATATAACAAAAATATACATCAAATTATTATATAAAAAGGTCAAACTTTACCCTTCATATTTACAAAAACATGCATTAACTCTTAAAAAAAAATTTAACTAAGCCAAAAGATACATTAATCTACCTTTAAATTATTATACAAATCACACATATATATACTAGGTGGTTGGTCCTCACATATGTGCGTGTATAATATTTTTGATACACATAGTTAAAACATTAGTATGTTTGTATATATATTGTTTTGTATTTCATAACTTATTTCTGAAACTAATGTATTTTAAAAACTTTTTATTTTTATGAAATTTTTAATAATATATAATCAAAAATATAAAAAGTTATATTAAATAATAATTAAATTCTTATAATATTTTTTGAGTATTATTTATAATATGTTTTATTTTATCTTACACAATCTACAATATTTTTTTACGTCTTACATAATATGAATTTGAAATACATATATAATATATTTTTAAGTATTTTTTTCATTTATTACAAATTAAACTGAAATAGTTTTTACCATTTTTACTTATCCTAAGAGCGGATAGATAGTTGACATGCATGTGTGGAGGTACCAACCACCTCACTACACATAGAATAGATAAAGATTTTTTTTAAAATAAATTATATTATAAAAATTAAAATATAAATTAGACTGTAATCAAGCTTAACAAATATTAACAAGCACGAAAAAGTTCATGTGACTTCTACTAATGCATAATTAATATTTATGTCTGTACGCATATTTTTAAAAAATTCGAAATATGGTTCTTACATGTTAAAAAGTTTTTACGTGACTTTGTAAAACAAAGTGCGAGAGATTTATTTTTATACACTTCTATTTTTAATTCTTATTCATATTTATTTTATCTTATTTTAAATTATTATTTCGTTTGGTTATTTTTTATTTTATTTATGATATCAAATTTTTGATATACAATAAAAATTATGAATATATATATATATATGAATATGATATATATTTTTTTATTCAAAATATGATAAGAGATAAGATGAGATTGTAACATAAGTTATGTATATTTTAGAAAACAACAATAAAAATGTGATAAAAGTTTTATGAAAATATATGGTCCTATTTATATCATAAAATAATAATTAGTATATACTTTATTCATTTAGTAAATATTGGTTTGAAAAGAAAATTTATTTTAAATTACGTTTTTAAAAAAAATTCAGTAAAAGTTAATTATTTTTTATTATTTTTAACATTTGATTCTTTAAATTATTTTTATCATGATTGTATTTTATTTGAAATTGTATTATTTAATAGTTTGTTTATTTAAAACTTGTTAGATGTTATTACTATATTTTGTAAATTAATAGCTTTCCAAAATAAAAATATATCATAATTTCAAACATTATTAATATATAAAATCTATACTATTCTATTGGATAATTTAATATTATTTTTTCGATTTTATATATATATATTGTTTTTGTTGAAAACATTTTTAATTATATTTTATGAAATTATAAATATATATAAAACATTAAAATCATAATAATTATTATTTTCTGTTAATTTAAAATTTATTAATTTTAGTGTTATAAGTATAATCTAGGGTTTTTATGTTTTAATTCTACAAGTTATTTAATTTTAATTCAACCAATCAAAACATTTCATTTATTTTAGGAAGTTTGACATATCACATTTACATGTCATCAATTAAAAGCACAAACTTTTGTTGTAGTGTTGACAAGTCAGCTATTTTCAATAATGTTACTTCTCAAATAATATATAGTGGATATATATATATATATATATATATACATCTTTCTGATACTTACTTCGCTCGACCATATCTAAGAATCACATGCAATATACTACTCTATTATTTATCATAATATTAAACACAAAATTAATTAACAACCTTTTTATAAAACTATGATATAATTATATAATCCACGTGTTGCGTGGACAAAACACAAATTTTATAGAGTTCCATATTATTCGTTGTAATCCGATATTGTGGAAAAACTGAAGTAAAAACTTAACTAAAGAACCGGTGATTAAAGACAGTTACTTATCGTTTCTTAATTTTTATTTGCAAAATTTCATGAAACATAAAACTGAAAAGATTTTTTTTTTCAAATAACATATAACGATAAATTTCACACTCTTCACCGATATTGGAAAATGATTGAGCTAGCTAAACTATCAAACAAATATTATATCAATTAATAAGAAACTCATATAATAAAGAATTTTATTATTAATTGCCATTTATTTTCTTCGTTGAATATATGAACTAATTATAAAACATTTATGTACAGACTGAATCTTAAAAAAAATTGATAAGTAGAGAAATTCATACTCTATGAAAATTAAAAACAAAATCCTAAAATACAATATGAAACAAAAATGAAATAAGGATTGAGTTTTTCTTTTTAAAAGCATCAAGCGAAAGGGAAGTTTATGCTAAAAGTTTTTGAAAATATAAAAAAATACTCATGGTGTTCACTAAAGAAATACATTATAACACAATATGTCCAAATTTAGACAATGGATTTCTAATATAATATATAGTTCTTGTGGATACTATTTACATAAATAAAAAATACAATAAAATTACACATCAAATTATTATACAAAAGGTCAAACTTTACCCTTCATATTTGCAAAAACATGCATCATCTCTTAAAAAAAAATTTAACTAAGCCAAAAGATACATTATTCTACTTTCAAATTATTATACAAAAAATTTCGATCATCTTTTCACATATATTTAAATCCTTCTGATATTTACTTCGCACGACTATATCTAAGAATCACATGCAAATATACTACTCTATAATTTATCACAATATTAAACACAAAATTAATTGACAATCTTTTATAAAACTACAATATAATTATACAATCTACGCGTAGCATGGACAAAACACTAGTTGATAATAATA